TGATTATATCCAGAATACACATCCAAAAAGGACAACAATTCATGTCCTTTTGTGGCGTCAATGAGGAGGTCAATTCGCGGAAGTGGGTAGCTATCTTTTGGGCACGCCTTGTTGAGCTCAGTAAAGTCGACACAGAGGCGCCACTTCCCATTAGCTTTAGTTACCATCACCACATTGAAGAGTTACTCAGGATAGGCTACTTCTGTGGCCGCCCCATTCTCTATCAACTTTTCTACCTCCTTTTCCATTGCCTAGGCCCTTCCAGTTGAGGCACCCTTTAACTTTTGTCGAACAGGCTATGGTTGTTAACATTGAGGCGGTGCATGGCAACCTCTGGGTCGATACCCTCAAAGTTTGCATGTGACCATGCAAAAACATCCATGTTGAGCTTCAAAAAATTTTTTAGCTGGTGGACAAGATCCTCAGAAAGGGAAGAGCCGATGTAAAATTCTTGGTTCGGATATTCCTCATCTAGGACCACTGGTCTGAGCTCCTCTACTGGTTCTCCTCTTTCCAACTTGGTATCATCTCGTGGGTCAAGGACTTCCACTTGCAATGCTTCTTGCGGCTTTCTAGTCTTCATTGAGGAGATGTAGCACTCTCTTATTGTTACCTGGTCTCCTCGTACTTCTCCTACTCCACTTGGAGTTGAAAAGTGGAGAATGAGATGATAGGTGGAGGGCACAGTCCATAGGGTATTGAGGGCTGGTCGCCCAAGAATGATATTGTAGGCTGAAGGGCAATCTATCACCAGAAAGTTGACCATGACCATGGAGCTTCAGGGTGCCACTCCGGCTATGAAAGGTAATGTGATAGACCCTAGGGGATATACCTTTTCTCCTGAGAATCCAATGAGGGGCGACTTGATGGATTGCAACCTTTCTCTACCCAAGTTAAGCTTGTCATAAGCCACTGCGAACAAAATATTCGCAGAGCTGCCACTGTCCACAAGAATCCTTCGCACCTAGAAGTTAGCAACGGTCATGGTGAGCACCAGAGGGTCGTCATGGGGGTGCTGGATTCCATTCAGATCCTTGTTTAAGAAGGAAATGACCTCATTGTTACCATGCTTGGGCACCTTAGATGGGCATAATTCCTCGAGATGCCTAGCTTTTCTAGCATGAACCTTCATAGCGGAGAGGGATTTTCCTCCCCCTGAAAGCCCTCCAGAGATGGTGTGAATTTCCCTGATAGGTTGTTGGTCTTCCTGATTTCAGGGTGGTGTTGGCGCCTGTCCCCTACCGGTAACATACTGTCGTAGGTGACCCCGTTGGATGAGCTCCTCAATCTGCCTTTTGAGGTCATAGCAATCATCGGTGTCATGACCATGGTCGCGATGGAAGCGACAATACTTATTTGGGTTCCTGTAGTTTGGGGGAGACTTCATCCTCCCAAGCCACTTTATCGCGGGGTCATCCTGGATCTACAACAGGATGTGCCCAACAGTGACATTAAGGGGAGTGAAGGCCTGTCGATCTCTCTGGGGAGCAGTACCGAGCTGGTCTTTGTCAGGTACCCTCTCTGTCCTACTACTACTGCGCTTGTTATTATTCTCCTTCTTGTCATCCCTGTTTCTTTCTTTTCTTTTCTCCCCAGCTCTAGAAGACTCACCTCGCTTGGCCCTTGTAGTGTCCTTAGCATTCATATATTTCTGGGCCTTCACTAATAGTTCTGGCATGCTCTTCGGTGGACGTTTCACCATCGAGAAAAGGAAGCTTGACGATCGAAGGCCTCCAAGGAAGGCGGTCATGCTGACCTTATCATCAGGCTCCTCAACCTGAAGGACCTCCTCGTTAAAACGAGTGAGGTAGTTCCTCAGGCTCTCATCTCGTTCCTGCTTTATGCTGAGTATGTGGGTGGCAGGCTTCTGGTGGCGGCGTCTTCCAATGAAGTGTGACACAAAAGACCTGCTCAGCTCAACAAATGTGCCAATAGAGGTTGAGGAGAGTTTTGCAAACCATTGTCGAGCGGATCCCTTCAAGGTGGTTGGGAATGCTCTACACATGATCTCGTCGGGGACGTTATGCAGCTGCATCAAGGTTTTAAAAGTTTCAAGGTGGTCCAGTGGATCCTTCGTACCGTCAAAGGTCTCAACGGAAGGCATCTTGAATTTTTGAAGGAACAGGTAGTTTGCCACATCAGGTTTGAAAGGTGTCTCAGTTTGACTTACGAGGTAGTCTACTGTGTCGGGGCCCTGCGCCTTCATGGCATTGAAGACGTCACCCAGCTGATGTTGTACCTCTTTAATATTTTCATCACATTGATTGGGAGGAGATGCTCTGAAATTACCATGAAAATGGCGCTCATGCTCCATGCTTTGATTTTCACCCTCACCCTCTTGGAGAGGAGGGTCTCTACCATAGTGAGCCGGAGCAGGAGCTGGAGGAAGATCCTCATGGTGAGCCCCCCTGTGTGGGGCAGTCAAGGTGAGGAGCTCCTTGATGACCAGGGAGTGGAGCTTCCCTGGCCTAAGGTCCAAGTTGTGCTCCTCCTTGTTGCCCAAGCATTAATTGTAAAATTTGCTGGTTCTGGGCTATGAACTGTTGCATGGTCTCTAACATCTGCTGCGCATTTGGGACTGGATTGGGTGGAGGAACAACCTCCTCCTCTCGTGGTGGAATGTCTTCAGGCTGATTCATGGATCTGGTGGTGATCGCCTTTGATTCAGCAAAAAAAATGTTTAGGTGAGAATTTTGTGGTTCCCACAGACAGCGTCAAACTGATGATGTACAAATTAGCTTGCACACCACTAGTCAAGTGAGTAGTATAAAATGCAATAAAATAAGTAGAGGAAGAAAGAGAACAAGGTTTATAGTGGTTCGGTCAACAATACCTACGTCCACTTTCAATGGCTAAGTCCGCCGGGAATTTTATTAACTCCAGTGTGTTGGGAGAGTAGAGAATTACAAGAAAGAAGAGAGGAGCTTTGATTTTGTGACATGCCCCCCAAGTGTTGGGGGAGCTTACTATTTATAACCATCTGCGTAGTAATTGTATAACTAGTCTGACGGTCATAGTTGGGGTCATTTAATANGGAGCTTTGATTTTGTGAGATGCCCCCCAAGTGTTGGGGGAGCTTACAATTTATAATCATCTGCGTAGTAATTGTATAACTAGTCTGACGGTCATAGTTGGGGTCATTTAATAATAATTAAATCNAATTGTATAACTAGTCTGACGGTCATAGTTGGGGTCATTTAATAATAATTAAATCTCTTGGCGACTTCTCCTCTCCTCGACCTCTCCTCTCCTCAACCGGCAAGGATGTGGGAGGTTGATTCTCTCCAAGCTACAAGGATAACCTCTCCTCTCCTCACCTGATGCTTTCTTGGTGGTGTAACTCCCTGATGGGCTTGATTGGGCCTGCTAGATTTTTATAGATTTGGACTCTTGGAATCGGGTCATTAATTTAGATCGGGCTTATAATATGAGTTGAGCCCTCGGGCTTGACCCATCAATCTTCAATGTGATCCGGCATTGCAAATTGATTTGGGGATTGTATAGAATTGGTCTCAATCTTTGTATCTCCCAGAAACTCAATATTGATTTAGCCTCCTCCTCCTCTTCCTTTTGCCTGGTCCTTTCCCATCTTACCTTTGCATTTGTCAGCCTGCTTGGGTTGTGCTTTGCACGTGGTTGTACTTATTACGTAAAGTGTCCAAAATTTTAGTTGTGACATATATAAAGAAAAACAAAAAGAGAAAATAGCAAAGTCAGCTCTAGACCTAATAACTACGTGCATGCGCCGGAAATTAGGCATGAAATCAATCCGTAATTAGATATTTAGGTTCAACTTGAAGGAGTTCGAGTGACAAACATGTGGACAAGGGCAAACCAAACAAAGACAACATGACACCTAAGAAACAGGGATAATAATGTGGGTGTCGTATTCTATACAAAGATACCATAAATTTTGAGAATATAGGACATAAGTACATCAACATGACTAATTAAAATAATATTATATATTTTTAAATAATATATTAAAAACAAAATATATTTTATAACAATATTACTAATAAGACCAAGCACATATTAATTTTTTGGTTTATATTAAAATAGATCAAAATAAACATCCATAATTTTCATCAAACATCATCACACCTATTAATATTTGTAGTTTATAAGTTACATAATAGAAAAAAATGCACACACAAAAAAACTAAAAATCATACTCATCGTAATAGTTAACAATCGATTTTTTTTAATAAAAAAAAATCTTGTTTGTGTCATTCTCGTACCCTAGTTGTGTCCTATTCACAATCGACTTATCAATTCATTAATNTCACACCTATTAATATTTGTAGTTTATAAGTTACATAATAGAAAAAAATGCACACACAAAAAAACTAAAAATCATACTCATCATAATAGTTAACAATCGATTTTTTTTAATAAAAAAAAAATCTTGTTTGTGTCATTCTCGTACCCTAGTTGTGTCCTATTCACAATCGACTTATCAATTCATTAATTAGGATATTTCTCACTATGTCGGACACATGTCTAGCCTTGTCCAATGCATGTCCATGTCAGACACGTATGATATTGTCACAACTCCCTCTATCAAGTATCCGTGCTTCGTAGAATGACACAAACCAATTATACATGATTAAAAACAGATCAGTATTAAACCAATTTTAACATAACACAACTTATTGATAGCATATTCAACTCCCACAAAAATAATGCTTTTTTAGTGTTCAAATATTTCCTTAAAAAAAAAAATTCCCTTTGAANGTATGATATTGTCACAACTCCCTCTATCAAGTATCCGTGCTTCGTAGAATGACACGAACCAATTATACATGATTAAAAACAGATCAGTATTAAACCAATTTTAACATAACACAACTTATTGATAGCATATTCAACTCCCACAAAAATAATGCTTTTTTAGTGTTCAAATATTTCCTTAAAAAAAAAAATTCCCTTTGAACTTTTGCTTTTTGGAAGCATATTCTGATTACTGTTACAGTCAACACAAAAGTAGAGAAGGAAAAAAAAAGTAAGGCTTCTCTGATTCATTGATGTAAAAAGTATATCAAATTAAACATATAGCATATCAATTCCAGGGTATTAATTATCCGTAATTAAATAAAGTTTCTTTATCCTCCTGTAAGAGCAATAGAGGAAAAAATAATCTTGTCACAACATATTGCATCCTCTCTTCAGCTTTTTACATTTGAACTTGTTTTCTGGTGCTTGAGACTGGCTTCAGACCATGTTTCAATGCAGCTTTCCATACTAGGTCGATTCTGTCGACGTCGATAGCCCCTACTTCATGGTGAGTCCAACCTTCTAAGGAATGAAGCACCCCACCTGCATGGCAAGCATGGACTACTCCTCTGTCCATTGTATACTGATCAAAGATGCCCCATGCAAAAAAAGAAAAAACATATAGCAAAATAATAATAAGTGAAATAAGTTAGCGTGTTTAATTGAAACAACTATGCAATATTGTTATTAAATTTCCTATATGGTGCATTTATTGAAAATATCATGTGATTTTCTTTAATAAATTTTTAATCCAGGATTTTGCAATTAGTGTCATCGCGCAGAAAATTTCTCTTTGAAGCCTTTGAAATCATGTTACCTACGTGTTCATCTTATTTGTATTTTTCTTTTTAGTTTGTTGTGGTTTTTACAACACCTCTCTTGCGATGAAACTCCTATTCGCAATTTAACTCCGTACATTGTTTTGTGATGGAATTCCTAATCATAATAAATCTCTCACCCTAGTCTGCATTCTCGTTTACCATCTTCTATTGTACCATGCATTGCAAGCTTCAACGCTAGTTATGCACTATGTTATTGTCTCAATACGTCCCCACGAGGGCACATGCAATACAAGTGCTTCAAATGCTTGTAACCGACAAAACACACACGCCTTCAGGTCTCTCTCTTAACTACTCATAGTCATACACCTCACATTTTCTATCTGTTGAGGAAATAGTTAAGTGTGGGAGAATTATCTCACTCATTTTGTGTGGCTTAATCAGGCGTGTGCCATCTCTCCCCCTTTTTAGTGAGCCACTCATCACTTCTCTAGTGTGTTGTGTTGTTTCAACAGAAAGAACGAACTCTGCTAAAATGGACAGCTTGTTTTCTTAAAAAAGATAAAGATAAAGATAGAGGGTGTGTTTATAGAACAAAAAGAGTATGCAAAAAGAATAAAAATGGAGAAATGTTCTCTATATGCACGAGCAAACACAAAAAGATGAAAACACAAAACAATGCTACATTGATCAATTTTTTTACTAACTTTTTCTAATCAAATCTCCTTGAACCATCCGATTTGGGGATCCCACTAACATCTAATCGTCATGGTTATGTTACATCACTCCATCAAAAAAAAAAAACCTTGATAAAAAGATTGAAAATGGCATAAAATTTTGGGCGAACATATTAATGTTGGATTTCTTAGACGATGAAGGCTTACCTCACAGCATCCAAGCCCTTCTACATCATCAGGTAACCTCATGGCTGCAAGATCACCATAAGTGCAGTCTCTTCTGAACGCAAAAATGGGTGGAACCACAAACTGATGAAAATGTGTTCCACTTGGTGCCCAACTCTGCTCTCTTGGCGTGATCCACTTACCAACTATCCATGTCTACAGGGATTCATACAGGTCGAGGTCAAAAATGGGGGGAAAATAATTTCTGTAAGCTACTGGTTAAACTTGTATGTAAAATTACTAAATTCAGGTATTCGAGTTTAATATTTACCCAACCCATTAGTATACCTGTGTTAGGTCAGGGATCATGTGCAGTACTGCAACGGTATTGTTCCCTTAGTCAACGTTGTTTTGAACCTGAAATGACTTCATTTCATGTGCAAAACAGCGTCGTTTAAGGGAATCAGTTCATGTGTAAAATGACTTGGTTGAAGGGAACAACAGAGGACCATACATTTTAGCGGATCGTATCATTTTCCAATTTGTGTTGACAACTCGTCAGTTTTATCTTGCTCGTTTTATGTTGGATTTCTATTGTGCTAATTTGTCGTGTCAAAAATTATCGCCCTTTATAGATATTCAATACAGCTATATTTCCATCATGTACAACATGTTTCTATTGTTTTTTCCTTTCATCTTTGTAAGTTATGCAGCAATATTAATTTACATCTACCGTCATTAATAATTTTCAACCACCAAGTAAACTAATTTTTGCTAGTACNGTCGTATCATTTTCCAATTTGTGTTGACAACTCGTCAGTTTTATCTTGCTCGTTTTATGTTGGATTTCTATTGTGCTAACTTGTCGTGTCAAAAATTATCGCCCTTTATAGATATTCAATACAGCTGTATTTCCATCATGTACAACATGTTTTTATTGTTTTTTCCTTTCATCTTTGTAAGTTATGCAGCAATATTAATGTACATCTACCGTCATTAATAATTTTCAACCACCAAGTAAACTAATTTTTGCTAGTACAATCCTGAAATGTACCCTCCTCTAATAATTAAACATGAATGCCAGCATGACTTGTTTTCTGTCAAAATATTAGAACAGCTCTGATGAAGAAGGTATAAATATATACCTTACAGTTTTTGGCTGCTTGATACTTTGTCACTTGGACTAGGTACTTCNCTGAAGAAAGTATACATATATACCTTACAGTTTTTGGCTGCTTGATACTTTGTCACTTGGACTAGGTACTTCTGATAATCAGTCGGGGCTTCTTTTTGAATCTTCAGAAATCTCTCTGTAGATAGAGTCAGCATCTGCAGTGTCAAACAACCGCTTAAAATCATTNTCTGATAATCAGTCGGGGCTTCTTTTTGAATCTTCAGAAATCTCTCTGTAGATAGAGTCAGCATCTGCAGTGTCAAACAACCGCTTAAAATCATTGTAATACACATTGCAGCTTAAGATCTTTAACATAAACAATTGTATGATAAACTGTTTGTATAGTGTCAAGATATCCAACAAGCTTTGAGATATGCTACAAGCTATAGTCATATTTGTGGGGTGAAAGTATATAGGAGAGCGCTTGTCTAAATTTTTGAAAGGGTGAATGACATCTTGTCGTCTGAGAAATTTTAAAACTTTTATTTCATCATTATAATTAAAAGTCTCACATTACACCTTATATTTCTTTGAAAAGTAGCAATATGCCTCAATCAGTGAATGACTTTTGATTTTGTGTTTACTGACATTCCACATGCCAAACACACANGCAATATGCCTCAATCAGTGAATGACTTTTGATTTTGTGTTTACTGACATTCCACATGCCAAACACACAAACAAAATTAATTATTTTCTTTTTAGGACAAAGTGACAATCTTTTAGTGGACAAANGATTTTGTGTTTACTGACATTCCACATGCCAAACACACAAACAAAATTAATTATTTTCTTTTTAGGACAAAGTGACAATCTTTTAGTGGACAAAGTGACATTGTGATATATTTTTTTTTTGGAAAATAGACATTGTGATATACTAACAAGCGGAAAACAAAATGATTTCTAGTGATTGAGGCATATTCCCATAATTTTGAGAAATTAAAGGTTTGACATGAGATTTTTTTATCTTTGAGCAAAGCAAAATATTAAAATCTTCGAGAGCCAAAATACCATTAACTATTATTGAAAAAATCCTTATACAAAGTAGATTTGGATTACGCTAAAATTCTGAGTCTCAATTTTTCTTAATACTATATCACCTATCGTAAATTAGAGTGAGACATTGTATTCAAGCGGATAACACCATCAATGATCTACCATTCACAAAAATTAAGAGAAAAATTATCGAATAGAATCAAAATTAATAGTGTGATAACGGATGAAGATAACTGCCCTTAGGCTTTATCTCTAAATCAATTTTCAAANGCAATATGCCTCAATCAGTGAATGACTTTTGATTTTGTGTTTACTGACATTCCACGTGCCAAACACGCAAACAAAATTAATTATTTTCTTTTTAGGACAAAGTGACAATCTTTTAGTGGACATAGTGACATTGTGATATATTTTTTTTTTGGAAAATAGACATTGTGATATACTAACAAGCGGAAAACAAAATGATTTCTAGTGATTGAGGCATATTCCCATAATTTTGAGAAATANAGACATTGTGATATACTAACAAGCGGAAAACAAAATGATTTCTAGTGATTGAGGCATATTCCCATAATTTTGAGAAATTAAAGGTTTGACATGAGATTTTTTTATCTTTGAGCAAAGCAAAATATTAAAATCTTCGAGAGCCAAAATACCATTAACTATTATTGAAAAAATCCTTATACAAAGTAGATTTGGATTCCGCTAAAATTCTGAGTCTCAATTTTTCTTAATACTATATCACCTATCGTAAATTAGAGTGAGACATTGTATTCAAGCGGATAACACCCTCAATGACCTACCATTCACAAAAATTAAGAGAAAAATTATCGAATAGAATCAAAATTAATAGCGTGATAACGGATGAAGATAACTGCCCTTAGGCTTTATCTCTAAATCAATTTTCAAAGCCCAAACTTATCTAGGATTAAAACGTTAATCACGAGATATTAATAAAATCACTATGATTTATATTAAGATGATAATTGAACTATAACATAAGACTTTCAAAAAAAAAAAAACAGTACAACATACCAGGACTCGTACTCTTCGTCTACAAAGGTATAGGGCAATGGCTCTTCCAAGCTTAGACGTAGCTCCTGTTAAAAAGACCTCTCCAATATCTTGATGGATCTCACTTAGGATTACGGCAGCGGTCAAAGTGTTGCCATGGACAACCCTAACTTTAAGGTTTTCATGCTTATTCACGAAAAGGGTTCCTCCTCCATTAAGCGCTTCATTCTACATTAGGTCGAACAAAGAAAATATAATTAGTAGTTGATTTGAAGTTCAAATCCAATATGAGAGAACAGATTTGAATATGTAACATACTTCATTTTCATAATTCAGATCCAATGGTCATATGGATTGACACGAGTATGTTGTCTCAACTTACTTTGGAAGCCCAAACCATGGCCTCTAAGAATTTCATCTAATCCTATTCCAGGTGCATTAAAAAATAAACAAAGAAAAAAAGTGTGAGATTGTCCCCTTCCCATGTTACGTCTGTTAAGAAATATAGGGTTATTGGTTATTTTGTNAAAACCAAGAAAAAAAGTGTGAAATTGTCCCCTTCCCATGTTACGTCTGTTAAGAAATATAGGGTTATTGGTTATTTTGTTTATTAAGGGTAGAATAGTCCTTTACTTTCTCTTTGTTTAGCCTATATATAGTCTTTTTGTATTTAGGTTAAATAACTTTTTTGTGTTCAATTGAATTATGCAGTATCAATAAAACCCTAGCCTCCTCTTTTCTTATCTCTTATATTTCTCTTTTATTAGATTGTTTAACAACNCTCTGTGTTCAATTGAATTATGCAATATCAATAAAACTCTAGCCTCCTCTTTTCTTATCTTTTGTATATCTCTTTTATTAGATTGTTTAACAACTTCTAATGTGAAGGTCCCATATCACATAAATNATATTTCTCTTTTATTAGATTGTTTAACAACTTCTAATGTGAAGGTCCCATATCACATAAATGCTTGTTAATGAACATGGCTGGTCTGAGAAGCCCTTGCATGCAACTGTAAATGAGCCACACCCTACCACACATCCAACTATATGAGCATTAATGCCTCCAAATTTCCAGCCACCATAGCTATACGGTCAAATTTTGAATTTAGCTATGGGCAAGGATACCTAGCCTACCACAAGGAAACTTTAAAACTAGTTAAAGCAAAATTAAGGATTTTAGGAAGACCCACTCCTTATATATGGTAGATCGTCCGCTATGAATTTAAGGAAGACTCATTACTTATAAATGGGTTCTACACTAATATGTATAGTGGCTGATCTATCATTAAAAAAAAATGAGAAAACTGGGTACTCTGGTGAATTTGGATTCCAAAACTACCAAGCCTACCATAAGGAGGCCAGCTTTCTTTTGTAAATAGATATAAGCCTAGCATGTGGGAAATGTTTCAACTTTAACTGCAATGTCATCTAACTATGGTTAGAATCTAACAAATATTTTGGCCCCAGAGAGAGAAAGAGAGACCTTATTCAAAGCAGCAAGGCTAATGACTTTAACTCCCAACCTATCAGCCCGAAGAATTGCCTCTTCTATTTGGTTATTTATGCCCTCAGCAGCAAATGGCAAGAAATACTGCAAATGAAGAAAAAATAATTTTCACAATTTATTAGCATTTTGTGAAATAAATAAGTTTATTTGGAAAAATAAAGACATTACAATATCAACCACTTCATCGACAATTACAAACCTGAAAACCATGCCGAGGAACAATCCAAGTCTGGTGCAACCGACCCCTAAGGTTATAGAATGAGATCGAGAAGGTCTTAGCCTTTGCCCACATCACCAGCATCACCACAAAAGCTATTGGCCATAAAGGCACCATGAAAAGTCTGGTAGTGAATGGCATCGAGGCGATCGATCGGAAAACAAAGGGGACGTGCATGGAGGATGTAATGTCCACCACATGGGCCAGGAACACAAAATCTGGTACCCTCCCAATTTCACCTGCATTATTGAGAATTAGACTCCCGTTTTCTTTCCATGTTCATAGCATTGAGGTATGTTCAACAGGGCCTAATGAAATAGCAAAATGGAAATGAGGTAGAAGAGTGTCAAAAAAATAAATTTGGGGAATTTCATTGATAAAAATGGCATTATATGACTAATCCAATTATTCTGCTATCGAATTATTTTTTTTTTTATCACGTAGTGGCATGATTTTTCAAAATCCCTCCTACTATCCATTATTAATAACCCAAGGAGAAGACAAGTTGGTGTTGGAGATACGGATTTATTTTAATAATTGCTTGATGCTTGGGAGACAGGCAATTGTATATGTCCGAAAGATTAACCGGGTGCTTAAAAATTTGAAAATTCCCTAGTTTATTAAAAAAGAAAAAAAAAATCACCACTATTGATGTGACTTGTGTGTTACCTGAACTTAGACTTATCTTCCTGTGTAGCTCCCATGATTTGCTATTGAGGGTGTTTCCCAATGCATCGTAAAGGGGCATGAAAAGGCAATAATTGGAACCCATCTCTCTGTGGTGTAGGCTGTGGTATCTGCAATGGCACAACAGACAACACCAAAACAATTAAGAATTTCAAAAAAGAAACATTTGGAAGGCACCATATGCCTCACAGCAGCAGGTACTCCATTTGGAAATTTAAGTTTTGGGTTAACAACGTATCCTCTCACAATATGTTTTTTTAATATTTTAAGTAAGAACATTCAAAATCAAAAAGATGTTTGAAAATTATTTTGCGAATATGGTCGATACGTATCTTAATAGTTGTTACATACATATACGTATATGGATATATGTATTGCTATACAAGCAATGCTATTAAAATATAACTTAAGAACATAATAAGGAAATATAATGCATTATGACCAATGAATGATAGTGAAATTTATTTAATGCTACAATGAGTCATATCATTAAATGCATTCTACTATCAATTCATTTGTCACAATGATTTTTAAACCCAAATAACATTACTCATCCCCAAATTATGTCCAAATAGCATTAGCGATTGCTAAACATGTCATTAAATTTCAAAAAATGAAACAAATATACATAAGAAACAACCGAAACAATAGGTATTGTTTGAAATAAAGTTAATAGCATTCTTGATCCTTAAAATATGCATTTTTTTTAGTCTAGTAATCGTTGTATCAAATTTTTCAATTTAATCCCTAAAATATTTAATCTGTGTCAATTTGATTTTTAATCAGACAATCCGTCAAGTTNTTTGTCAATTTAATCCCTAAAATATTTAATCTGTGTCAATTTGATTTTTAATCAGACAATCCGTCAAATTTTTTTTGAAGGAATTGACCACATGTCATTTTTTTAAACTGTATCACGTGTTTAACAAGTGATTATTCCATCAAAATTTTAACGTTCTAAATATATAGGGATCAAAATAACACGAATTAAATAATTTAGAACTTTAATTAATAAAATTGATATAATTAGGACTAAACTGAGTAAGGACCAAAGATATTATTAAAATTTTTGAAATATCATTTCTCAAAAAGTTTCCAAACTGGGAATACGAGAGATGNGTAAGGACCAAAGATATTATTAAAATTTTTGAAATATCATTTCTCAAAAAGTTTCCAAACTGGGAATACGAGAGATGCAAAAGGACTGCGCTGGGAGAGCAGCTAATGCATGATAAGATACCTATAAGGCAATTAATGACTTCTCTCCAATCCCAGTTACCTTCATTTATCTCTTCAATCATTCACCCACCACTATTTTCAGACCCACATAAATGTGACAAGTCATTCTCAAAACTATATTTTAATTGTCAAGTGTCTTACAATTATACAGTGACAGGATCTCCCCTCACAAAATCCTTTTTGTTTTTGATTTCTCGCCCACTTCCATAAAGATTTGTGCATAGAGTTTGCTCTTCCTATGCCTAATTCCTAGATCCGTCTTTCGCTTACTAAATATAAGATGACATTCCACCATGTTACCATCAAACCCTAATATTAACATACATAGATTTGAATGATGTATTGATTGTATATGTGTATGTAAATGCCTATGTATGCATGTAATCACTTACGTTGGGGTGTAGATAAGATATCGCAATAGGGGAAAGATCTCAAAAATCTGATGAGGAATAATTTCAACGTTGCAGTGGCCCAAACATCTTAGTAAATCAAAGAGCAGCACATAACAGTAGATCATACTTATTGATCCACATCCAATCAGACAAGTCCCCAGTATTGGAATCCAAGTCACTGCAGCTAATACAACATGGTCCAACAAAGTGGAATTTCCAGCTGCGACAGCACATAAAAAAAGGGACAGGTGAGATATAAAGATACACCCGGCCAGCACACATTGATTGAGATTCCCTCCAATATGCTTATTTCGGTCTCCTTCAATAGAAGGTTGCACATTTTTATCGATCTATTAGAGCGCCAAGAAATAGCTTCTCGACATGCACGGTAAGNTCCTTCAATAGAAGGTTGCACATTTTTATCGATCTATTAGAGCGCCAAGAAATAGTTTCTCGACATGCACGGTAAGATTGTGGACATCCAACCATTTTCAAATTCCATAATAGTAGGAGCCTTATTTCCTGGCCGCCCTTTAGTCCTCAGTCATTCATGGTGGACAATCAATATTAGAGTAAAATTCAAAAAAATGTATATTTCAAGATCTCAACTGAAGTAAGACACACAATTCAAATAGAATTCAAAAAATTGTAATCCATGAGTAAGTCTCATCAACTTTTTTAGTGAGATCCATTCATTCAAAAAATAATATGCATGTGTATTACAATTTTTGAGTTCTATTTGAATTTTATAACATCTTTGGCTGGCACACACTACAATAATTATGATTTGAATGACTGCAGGCATGGGAGGACAGAAAATTAAATTGAGCATACGGATTTTAATTGTCTTACCAGTAAAGGGCTGAGGAACAGGTGATGAATGGTGGAGTGAATGGTAATGGGTAAAAAGATAGCTTCCATGAAAACATTTATGAGCCCAATAGTATAGGGGCTCTGAAACCAAAACGTGAAGTATAATAATGGCAATGAAGCCTCTTGTGCTCCACACAGGAAGATTGGCAGGGATTGGGAACATGTAGAAGGCCAAAGTAGCAATCAGAGCTTGAAGAATCAGGAAATTATCCCTGGAAAATAAAAACCAATGTAACATAAATTTTAATAAAAATAAAGAGAATCATCATCCAAAATATCAGTCGATATAGATACAGCTGGACCAAGCCATTTTCGTCTTGTCATTCCATTATAGTTCCACGTTTCGTATAAATCATGAGTTTTATACGATTTGGACGAACCATCCAAAACTTCTCGAGTCCTCATCTTTGAATCGACCGATATTACTATGTCATAAGGTTAACTACGTGGGATTTACATCCCACGGAGTTAATTCTCATTTCAAGAGGTAATTCTCATGCACCAGTCTCTCAACACGTGCAACGAGTGCAATGGCCAATCAGGACTCACATAATTGACAAGGAGTCCAACCCACATCCAAAACCTGGATACAGTTACTACAGTCAATAAAGGCCCATCTCTCTTCATTCGTGTTTAATTTGATCTTCTATCTAGTGTCTCACGTGTATCACCCAATACCATTCCGAGACATTGCAACCAATGCATCTCGGTGTCTCCAAGGTTAGGCGATTTTGGATCATGAAATTTATAAATTTCAATATTGAAAGTTAAAAAAAAAAAAAAAAAGGGAACACTATATAGAGGAACCTACCAATCCCATTCTTGGTCAATCTGCTTGAAATCGACACCCTGTTGAAGAATCCGGCGATTTCGGGTAAGGAAGAGCATGTTACTGAAAGAGGTGCATAATTGATAGATAAAACCTCTAAGTGCACATAAAATGAGAACATGTAGACACCAAGTTTCAGTCATTGAATTGTCTTGAAGTCTTGAAAACAAGACTTTTCCAAGGAAAGGCCCATAGAGTAGATACTGTTCCAAACACAAAAACAATTGACAGTCAAAATCCAAAAGAAAACTTGTAAAAATGAGAGAGAAAATTGTGGGTCAGTTCATATAGAGACCACACAGAAACATGTAATTAACAACAGAAAAAGCAAGAATATATATGGGTGGACCATAGCTTCTGTATCTGTACCTTGAAGGCACCCAAGTTTTCCCATGGCCAAGCTGATAAGGGAGCAACCATTTTCTGCTCTCTTTTTTTTCTCTCTCCTCTTATTCTGTTCTTTCTCGGTAACCCTGCGAGAAAATTGAAATGAACAAAAAAAATATATAGTTTTACAGATACAACAAACTCTTCCCAGATAATAGCAGCTGGGAAAGAAAGAGGTAGTTTGTTGGGTAGTCCAGCCTCTCTCTCTCTCTCTCTCTCTCGGGAGTTTGTTGGGTAGTCAAGCTACTCTCTCTCTCTCTAACTTTCTTTCTATCTCTTAGAGGTCACCACAACTTGGACCTGTAATTCCCACTCCAATGGCATACTTTTATAGCTGGAAACGATTTGCTGGATCTATCATACAAAAAACAGTTGGAACTCTTAATCAGTCTCCATCTATATAAATCTCAAAAAGTCGTCAATCATGGCCCGAAGGCTTACACGAGATCAACGCGTCCTCATTTTGTACCGTTGATGTGGCACAGCTGTACTGATGGTGAATCGGTCTTTTTTTATTTTTGTTTCAAACGATAGGATCTCCTTTTCAATTTTCAATCTGATTAAAGACAACCGATCTTTCTAACAACATATTGTGCCAATAGTTGCCAATGTACACAAGTTTGTGTATGTAGTTGGGGTAGAAAATAGGGGGGCTGGACATAGCCTGTTTACCTAAATTTAAATTTTTGATATTTGAGATGTATGTTAGATTTGAGTTGCGTTATTTTAAATTTATATTATGTTTGTATAAATCATGAATAAAAAAGCATGAATCCATGAGAATCCATTATACATTGCTCTATATAAATTTAAAAATTCATTTGATGCATATCTTACTAAATCATATACAAATTTCACACAATCCTAGATTGTGGTGTTGAAAAAATAAAACAATCTTTTTTTTTTCATATAATATCGTGTATATTTTATATTAATTTAACTCATTTATTATATATCATTTTCGACTTAATACCACCATGAATTTAATTCTTGAGACAAGTGTTCAAGTGTTGTAGAATTTTAAGGGTTTAAATCCTTTCTATTGTTTTTTTTTTTCAATTTTTTTCTTAATGAATCATGCACCGTGTATTGCTGGTGAATCTAACTTAAATACAATTGATCTGATTTAAATTCACAATAAAAGATTTATCAAAAAAAAAATCTATTGAAAAGGATGTCATTTTAAAAAACCACCGTCCCTTGAGGTAAGGTAATTTATGAAGGCTCGTTGTTGGTTGAGGGATTTGCTCACAAGGAATAGAGTGTAATAAATTGTTGTCCTTTGAAAGATACAAAACATGAATGAAGTCAAATTAGCTTGCCAATGCCTGGTTATTGACAGGGAAAAAACAGGTACATGCCTCAACAATTCTTAAAAAGTGATCTTTGGACTCTTGTCAAATATCGCTTCCTAGAACTACATCTGTACGTACCCACCGCCCTAACCTACCCCTGGCCGTCCCTCCATTCCACCCTGTAGTAGTCTCGGATGCGTGTATATATATGTTTTAAATATTGTATTAAATCAGATCTACTTTACTAAAAATATGATCCATTTTAAAAACATGGTGAGACTTTAAAATATGATCCATTTTAAAAACATCATACACAAATCCACTTTGCTAATAATTTAGGTAGTATTGTGAGAAGCAAATAATCATTATTCAAGGTCATAGCAATCCCCATAACCCAGCAAAACAATGCAAGAACTTTAACTAATAGCTGCAAATACGCCTCCCACCTATAATATTCACCACCACTCATCCTTCCTCTTCTCATTGACATAAAACAAAAAAAAAAAAAATTAACATTCACATTGCTTCACTTTTCTAGAATTTTTTTGTAACAAATTGTATTAACGAAAATTCTTTTATTTTGTTTTTCAAGTCGAAGAAATAAGCTATTTTCGAAGTGGTAGTTGGTCAAATGGTTCAAGAGAATATAAACAAAATGTTCAATAGCAGTCATAGTGGCTACGTAAGAGCTCAAAGTATAACCAAGAACTTTTGAAATTGGTAATTAAAACTCTTGATTGAATCACACCGGGCAAGATATACAAAATTAATGAAGCATCTACACTACAGATAAAGAAATTTCTTTAAAAAACTGAAAATTCCAAGATCAAAAAGTCAGAATGTTGCAAGTATACATGAACCTTTTGATTTTCTTTCATAAAAGCTTTCTCAAAAAAACATTGACTAAATGAACAATGCAAAACAAAATATTTCAAATCTATACAAATAATTTTACCTTCATACTCTATTGCTCATATGCTAAAATGATTTCCATTTTGGCATCTTTGTAACACAAAAAATGTAACCCAAAAAATAATTAATTAGAAAAAATATGAATTCTCCATCAATTTTACATACCTACAATTGGACTCAGGAATCAAAACTCCGATTTTTATTTAAAAAAAAATCAGATATTCCAACTTTTCTGTCCTAATTTTGCCTCTATTGAACCTAGGCATCAGCCCCATTCATCACATTGAACCTAGAATATCCCAAAAAATCAGCTATCTTCCCACCAAATCCTCCATTTTCTGCATCATTTGAGTGATTGAAGGAGATATACTTCGAAAGTGATTCTTTATTATCTTCCAACAGTTTCCCACAGGTGCTTTGTTACCAAAATTCATAACACCTATGATGCNTTTTCAAGTCGAAGAAATAAGCTATTTTCGAAGTGGTAGTTGGTCAAATGGTTCAAGAGAATATAAACAAAATGTTCAATAGCAGTCATAGTGGCTACGTAAGAGCTCAAAGTATAACCAAGAACTTTTGAAATTGGTAATTAAAACTCTTGATTGAATCACACCGGGCAAGATATACAAAATTAATGAAGCATCTACACTACAGATAAAGAAATTTCTTTAAAAAAATGCAAATTCCAAGATCAAAAAGTCAGAATGTTGCAAGTATACATGAACCTTTTGATTTTCTTTCATGAAAGCTTTCTCAAAAAAACATTGACTAAATGAACAATGCAAAACAAAATATTTCAAATCTATACAAATAATTTTACCTTCATACTCTATTGCTCATATGCTAAAATGATTTCCATTTTGGCATCTTTGTAACACAAAAAATGTAACCCAAAAAATAATTAATTAGAAAAAATATGAATTCTCCATCAATTTTACATACCTACAATTGGACTCAGGAATCAAAACTCCGATTTTTATTTAAAAAAAAATCAGATATTCCAACTTTTCTGTCCTAATTTTGCCTCTATTGAACCTAGGCATCAGCCCCATTCATCACATTGACGGCCATCTTCCCACCAAATCAGCCCCATTCATCACATTGAACCTAGAATATCCCAAAAAATCAGCTATCTTCCCACCAAATCCTCCATTTTCTACATCATTTGAGTGATTGAAGGAGATATACTTCGAAAGTGATTCTTTATTATCTTCCAACAGTTTCCCACAGGTGCTTTGTTACCAAAATTCATAACACCTATGATGCTTTTTAAGAGATATTTTGTGGGACTCCTTTGTTACCAAATCCTCCAAACTCCTAAGTTTTGAGTTAACCCTATTGTTTGATGTCTTAACCAAGAATCCTAATGTGTTTGACTTGCACTTTTGGATGACAGAAAACAATTTCACCTCCTTATCAATATTGACAACAAGCTTCCTCTCCCCCAAAGTCATCAACTCTCTTCACCCCTAATTATCATCAGAGACAATCTCATCCAATATGGACTTCATTTCAACTTTAAACATCTACATCATATATGAACTATTAAGTTAGTGGTGCTTCAGTTCTACTTGGAACGATAAAATTATATGACATTGAAGGTATATACCCGTCATCCATTATCATGGTCTAATGGAATCGTAGCATCCATAAGCATATGAAAAAAAAATATGATTATTAAAAGTAATTCAAACATAAAACAAACATCTTATTGCATATGAGGATAAATAACATAAAAGGGTCAAAGATCATACCTTACGAAGAGCTGCACCAATAGTCTTATCAATTGTCGAAATGTAATTAACAAAATCCCATATTACTACAAACATGTGCATACCAAGGAAAATCACAGAGATATAAAATATAAAAAGCTCAATTTTATACAGTATTAACAAATGCATCGAGTAGACACACAAATATACATCGAAGAGTGAAATGAATTGCGGAGAAACTATCCAAAGAAGAGACAAGAGACAAAGAGAAGTAGTTTCATACCACACCATGAAGATGCAAACTAAAAATTTCTCACAAAAATGCTTCCTGGTCACATTTTATTGCTATATAGGAACCTATTAGCCAAGACAATAATAAAATTAAACACATTGAACAACCACATCACACAACACTCCATCAAAGATATATATATATATATAAATTAGCCACCTTGAAATTTTTTTATGCCATATGCACGAAACACACTCATGATTGACGATGGTCGAAGGGACTAGGAGGAGCAAAAAAATTAACAAACTCAAAATTAACAACCTTGAGAACCCTACCAATTTCTGAGAGGAGGGAGAAAAACTTATCTGCCCATGAAAAAAAACGGTGGCAGCGGGAAGAAACTTAGATAAACCACCAATTTGGAGTACCAAAAAATCAAAAACTTTATCTGTAGCAACATTTCATTGAAAACATGGTATTTGCGGGCTGTGTGGTGGGGAAAATTGGTGGCTGTGGGTGACAGTTGGTGGCTCGATTGATGTTGGTGTCAGCTTGGCAACTTATCGAATAATTGGTATATAGGGAGCTTTGGAGTGTGGTTAGAATGGCTTGCTGAGAGAGAGAGAAAGATATGAAATGGGTTAAAGAGAGTTGAAACAATTCCCATAGCTACCCAAAATTGGAATAGGTGCTAGCAATGGCGGTGGTTGTGCAACAATGTAGAAAGATGGAGATACCCAACGTGGGCGGGCTGACCGCGTCACATGTGGGTGTCATTGGGGGTCCTGTGCTATGGAGGTATGTGTTTGCTATGTTTTGTGAAGGAGAATGTAGTTTTTTTTTTTGTGGAAAACAGAGAGGAAAGGAAAGAGCCGGAAAAATACTTGGAGGTTGTGCAATGGTGGTGATAGCGGTGGTATGTAGAGACTGATAGTGGTGGTATGTAAAGGCGGTTGTGGCGGTGGTATGTAAAGGCTGTGGCGGTGGCGTGAAAAGGTCTAACGGAGAGAGACAGACGTATTTGAAGGGCAAGGAGAGAGAGACCTATGTTTGTGTGAGAGAGTGTGGGTGTTCGAGTTATAAACGAAATCAAACTATTAGCCCAAGATTAGATTAATTAGGATC